AAAGTGAGGTGTCTTGCAGAGGGCCCCGGGTCTCGTCTTGTCAACATGGGAGCATCGATCCGGATCGGCAGAAGCCCGGCTCCACCCCCTCCCCCATCTAACTCACCTGGCCAGTGAAGTTAAGGGGAGCAACTAATTGGTAACAACAAGACGGAGTGTGTGTGTGTGTGAGTGTAAGTGTAATATATTATATGCATATAATACAGTGTTAATGAATACATGTATTACTAATAAATGTGGTGTTTTGCCTTATTCCCCCTGAAAAGATCCTGTGCAGTACTTTAAGTACAACAATTGGAACAACTTACTGAGCAATGTGGTGGATTCTCCATCTCTTGACGTCTTTAAATCAAGATTGGATGGCTCTTTACAATCCGTGCTGTAGCTCAACCACAAGCTATGGGCTCTATGGATGGGTCACTGGGTGACAGTCTCTGGCCGGTGTTATACAGGAGGACAGACTAGATGATCACAATGGTCCCTTCTAGCCTTGGAATATATATAACACACATTACCAATAGCAGGGTTACTAACCGAGGGCCAGGCTGACTTGGGCAAGTGGTAACTGGCTGGTAATGGCTGAAGGTTGTTGCCAGCTGGTTGCGGTTCATCATCTTCTGTGGAAAGAATCTCATGGTCCCGGTAGAGAGGTGCCCCCAAACCACCGTTATTGGTAGCTTATTGGTTAAGAACTGGGTGGGTCTCAGAGATGGAGCTGCCCCATCTCCAGTGAGGGGAGGGGTGTTGGTAGAGGTCCATCGGCAGAGATACTTGCTGTAGACATCAATCCTCAGTGCTGTCATCTTTCTCCCAGTACTAAATGCCCTTGGAAATAAATATTAACACGTCTTTGAAGGAAGAGCAGCCTGAGATGCAGAAAAACACCAGATTGGGGAGGGACTGCTCCTGTTGGGTTGGAAGGGACAGACACGTTTTGATACGTGGCACAGCGGCACAGGGATAGGAGAATTCGAACAGCTGTTGAATCTGGTCTCCCAGCTGAGCCTGAATTTATCTCCTCGGTGGCCCAAACAGATTTTGCGACATACTTTGCTTACCAGATACAATTGGACATTTTAAATGTATGTATAGATGGTTCTGACATCATCATAACTTCGGATCCAAAGGTGCAAAAATTAGAAATTCAAGTCAAGCAAATCATTATTTATTGAGTATTTATGAAACAATAACTCCATGATCCAAGGACTTTATTCAGTGACAGACCAGGAAACCTATAAATTACAGAGCCAGCAAGACTGAGCGGCATAAGGCAGCTGTCTCTGCTACAGCCAGAAATATCACACCAAGACAAAGCATCCCTGCAATGCACATCCCATGCGGCCCCCTCCAGTGCACAGGGCTCCTCATCGGCAGGTGTCTGGAAAACATGCTCCATAGCTTGGAAATTAAGGCGCTTTCTGAGGTGCTGGGACCTGCATGTCACAGCCCAGCCTGTCCATGGGGCTGCTTACAAATCCACCTGAAAGGCTGAATGCACTTGTTATCATTCCACAAATTCCGGTATCTTGGCTCAGTATGAACACAGTCTTCTCCACCATTGGCATTGTTTGGCTCATTCTGCATCCAGAACCTACAGATCAGAGTGTTAATGTCTCAGGGAGAACCACAGCCAATTCCTGAGCTCAGTTCTGCTCTGTGGACTCTGTTGTTGGCAGGGGACCAAGACACCCAGCAATGACGCGGTGAAGCGATCCACCCCCCGGCCACCCCTCAGAGTTCTCTACAGCTCTTGTGGCCATGGTAACGAAGGGCTTCTGACGGCTGGGGGTAGCAACTGCCCTGTGCCTGACAGGCCAGCAAAGAGCCCAAGTCAGTCTGTGGCTCCAAATGCTGACAGCAGCAACTCTGATCTCAGTGCCCAGAACCAAAGCACGTGGCACAGCACGTCCAGGCACCCCCGAGATGGGAACGCAGGAACGGGAAGAGAGGGCAGCGGGGGTCAGTCATTAACTTCTCCAGGGCCCTGCTTATGGGCCCCGTCCACAGCCCACTGAGGTCACTGCACCGACGGGAGCTGGCTCCGGCCATGCCCCCGCCCCACAGCCTCCCCTTCCCCAGCCTGACAGAGGGGAGAGCGCAGTGCAATCCCAAGGAGAGTGTGAACCTGCTGCTCACTCCAGACTCACCTGGCTGTACTGAGTTGACTTGGGGCCAGATCCTCAGCTGGTGTAAATCCCTGTGGCTCATTCAAGTCAATGCCGAGTTACCCCAGGGGAGGCTCTGGCCCTGGGTCTCAGTGGCACTGAACACACGCTCCGTGTTTAGGCTCCTGCTCTGAGCAAAGGGGCATTAGCAGAAATTCCTGAGAGTATTCATTGCTGTTGTGACAGTGCCCGGGGCCTCCCTCAGGATCGGGCCTACTGTGCTGGGTGCTGCATAGACATCAGGGCCCGTACAGACGCTGCCCGAAGGAGCTTGTGACCAAACGTGTAATAAATAATCACTTCTCTCAAGCTTTACTCACCCCCTGCTTGTGTCTGCTCTGTATTCTGTGCCATCCACCCAGCGCCAGCTGCCTTCTGTCCCCAGGTCAGTGAGTCCAATCCAGTGATCTTCTCCCTTGGTCTCCTTGGAGAGAAACTCCTGCACAACACAGTTTGCAGCATGTCCAGGTCACCCAAGAGAGGCTGCAGGATGCAGCCGCAGCTGCCTGGGCTGAACAGATTTGGGGGAGAGGAAAGGGCGTCTGGTGGTGTGAGCTGGGCACTGGGCAGTGAGAGACATGGTGTCCTGCCCCCAACGCTGACAGTGACTAGCTGGGAGACCCTGAGGGAGTCCTGGAGCATCTCTGTGTCTGTGTCTGCATCTGTATCTGCCTGGGGCTACCAGCAGCGACCTGTCTCAGAACACTTCCCCCACAGCCCCTCGGAGCTGGGCTGCGGCAGTGACTGACGGCACCTCAGAGTTCACACCAGCGCCCTGCCCTTGGAGGAGGCAAAGCTCGGAGCAGAGAACTGGGTGCAAAGTCTAGCCCTGCTGGAGGGTGGGATTTTCCTCCTCAGAAAGTGCCCCAGAGGCTTGGGGTGAGGGCTAAAGTGGGCATGTGGGGAGAGAGGAATCTCTGAGAGGTGCATGGCCCGTTGCACACAAGCCTTCCAGATACAGGCTTTTAGATTGTCCAGCGGGAGCTCAGGCCTGGGGAGAGGGATCAAAGCGGGTCGTCCCTGGGAAAGGTCATTGGGTTTGCAGGAAATGCTACGTTGGAAGTAGGGAAAATCAGAAATGAGCCTGACCCCATATCCCCCTCCCCCAGAACCCCAGACTCCAGGAACTCCAGATCCTGGCACTGTTCCTCTGCCCCATCTCTGCTTTAAAACTGATGGGTGAATCCTCATAGTCACGTTCCAAGGCTTCACATCCTCTCCAATGGTTTCCAACCTCAGCTGCCCCCTTCCACCTCCTTCTGGTTTAAAAGAAGGCACTGACCCATTGTCCGACTTCCTAGGAGCTTCCTGCACTCACCTGTTCTGCCTGGGAGGAGACGGAGGTCAGGTGCGAGTCCTGAGACACACAGAACCGCTCGGCCTCGTCCCATGACTTTTTTTCTTGTGAAAAGTAATAGAAGTTCCCACCGTAAAACCTCCAGCCCCTGGAGACCTTTGTCAGCACTTCACCTAGGAGCAGAGACTGAGGTGAGACGCCTGGGCGAAAGTCACAGGGACACACGCAGGGTGCTCAGGGTTTCTAGTGCTGCATTTCTCCTTCCCTTCAGCTGCCCCAAGCTCAGGGAACTTCTGAATCCTGATACTCCAGCATCACAATAAGTAACTTTTGTGGCCACATGATGGATCCCAAAGAGCGCTGCAGAAAGCAGACACCACGGGGTCACTCTCCCAGCACTGAAATGCAGCTGCATCTGGGCTGGAGCATGGGCGCTGGTCCCAGTGCAGAGCAGCACGGCTGTAATGGGAAAGGGGAGACTCACTGTTCAGCTGAGCTGGCAGGGGGAATTCAGGAGGGGGAATGTAGCTGCCCAAGGTGGAACAGCCCCTGGTTCTGTATCAACAATTCTCAGTGATCATAAGTGGTAAAGGTCTCGCACCTTTTCACTTTGGCATCTCCCCAAACACCCTGCCGGGGGCACTGGCTCAGTGATGGGTCTGAAAGTAACACCCCATACGCTGAAATGCCAGTATCACTTTTTGCCTGGGAGCTGACGGGTTTGGAGCATCTAAGAAGAGCTGGTAGCTGGGTGCTCCCATTAGGCTAACGAGGCCCAGGGTGTAATTTAACTCCACACAGATCACCACGGTGTGGGCCCAGGTGCAGCCACCGGTGATTTTTAATGGACGAGAACTCGGTGCTGGTGAAAGGCGCTGCGCTGTCAGCCTTGGAGCCTGAAATCCTCCGTTTATCCTCAGCACCAGGAGAAACGACACCAGCCAGCGCTGCAGCTAGTACTTACTGCAGCCATCTTGCACTGCTGTTCGCGCTGCACTGACATTACCCAGCTGGGCTTTCAGCATCCGGACTCCTGCCTGTGCTTCATCCAATAGCTGCAGACCTAGAAGAAAGTCACAGCGACTTCAGTGGAGATGCAGAACACTTGATTATCAGCACGTGTGGTAGAGCAGCACCTGCAGGCCCCTCTGTGCCAGGCGCTGTACGGACAGGAGGGGACAGTCCCTGCTCTCAACAGCTCACAGTCAAAATGGACTCTAGGTGGGAGAAATAAAGGATGATTTTCCTGCTGGGGAACTGAGGTGCAGAGAGACGTGCCCAAGATCACACAGGAAGTTTGCAGCCGAGCTGGGAAGTGACCCCCGCTCTCCTGAATTCTAGCCCTGTCCCCCCAATCTCCCCAGCCTCCTCTTTCCAATCGCTCCCACCTTGTGAGCTGTGAGTGGGTCACCTGCAGCATGGGGCAGAGCTGGGGCTGCAAGAACATCCATGGACCCGAGCCATGGCCCTGGGCTCCAGGCCGGGATTTTCAATAGCCCAGGTTTCCGGCATGTTCCGTGCCGGGGTTTAGTTCAGGCCCATCTTCTGATTGGACGCTGAATAACCTGATCCATGGACCGGTTTGTATGTGCAGCCCTGGGCCAGACAGACAGAGCGTTGTGAGACGTGGCCACAAGGGGGCGCTCTGCCTCCAGCAATGGGACTGTGGCAGTTCCCAAATTATTGGAGCACCATAGGAGGGGCTCAGGGCCTGGGGGGAATTGAGACCCACGAGTGCAGCTCCACTGACGTCCTGCTTACACCAGGGTCTGAATTCGGCCCTGTGTGTCTCATGAGCTGCATCCGTCTGTCCCGCGAATGCAATCCTGACAATACAGGGCCATGGTGAAAACTCTGGAGCGAAGGGAGCAACAGGGAAAGGACAGAAGATGTTGACCACTTAGGAGCATGGGACGGATGCAGCCAACTGCC